GCCATGTCCCTCTCAACCTCTCACCCCATAGTCTGGGCCACTAGGAGGGGTATGAGGCACCAGAACTATGACAGGCACCTGGGCATCCTGAACCCACATCACCTGGCCTTGACCTAGACCTCCAAACAGCTCTGGGACACCCTGCCCACTGGTTACCAAATCACTGATAAGAGTCTCCCAGAATCCATGGTACCCCAGTACCTTCCACAGTCCTGCCAACATTAGCCAAATCTGAGCTGTCTTCACTAAACCACCCTCTCCTCCTACCTAAGCCTGGTTATCAGGGTCACTGCGGAAGCTGCAGTTCCCTCTGCTCTGAGATTTATTTGCCCTGGAAATGGCCCTTGGTCAAGGGAAGGGTCCACCCCCTCAGGAATGATTAACACATTTACCCAGCTAGAAAGGAGGTACCAGGAGATGCCTCAGTCTTCTCTGGTGGCCCTCTTCATTCTCATGAAAGAAGGCCAGTTTTGCATCATACTGTTTGGTGCATGAGGACAAAGAAGGGGAAACCTAGGTCCTGTTTCCTATTGTGTGCCTGAATGCTGATGACCCTAGATAGAGCCTCCATTTGGAGTTCTCTCTCTTTCTGGCAAGAGTGTATTGAATGAGCTCATTCAGGCCTGCAAAGTGTTTCCAGTTCCTCAGAGCAGAGTACCAAGAGTAGCAGAATATAGCGATCAGAGGAAGACTTGGCTAATGGCTGCGGCTGACCACACTTTGTAGGGCTTCATCCCCATCCTCTACCCTAGCACAACTTCCATACCCCAGTGGTAGAAAGAGCCCTAGAATAGGAGTCTCTGGCTGAGCATTTAGCAGCTTTGGTCAGTTATCCTTGCTCTCTGACCTTTTTCCTCACCCCTAAGGTGGGAATAAGAACTCTGAGGTTCTGTTCACCTTAGGGAACTGCCTTGGGACTCAGTGAAACAGTGCACCTTATCAGAGGTACAAGCTTCTCACTTGTGCATCTCCAGACCAGTGTGAGCCACTCTTCCCACTCTCTAGCCAGGCCTGCTGGCAGTGACCTGAGCATTATCACCCTTACCCTCTCTACTCCCAGCCCAGCCATGACTCCCTTTGTCCTTGTCCTCCCTGGAGTTTCAGAATCAGCAAAGTCCAATTCATAAGTCTTAAAGAGATTAAAAGGTTTCCTTCTCTCTCCCTCCTCCTCCTCCATCATCACCTATAGAAGATAATATAGGGTGAGAGTCTGACTCATGGGTTTTTATTTTTTTTAATTTTTTTCCAAGAATCACAGATCTAGGGAAACAGCTCCTTGAAGGCAGGGATTGTGTTGTTTTCATCTCTTTGCTTTCCTCCCCACCCCTTCCCCCACAGCACCTGGAAGATAGTAAGGACTCAGTAATTGGGTAGAAAATAAGGGAAATGAAATAGGAAAATGTATCAGAACAAAAGCATTTGACTGGGAATCAGGAACCTAGCGTTCTGGTCCCAGATCTGTCAGTGTCTCAGGCAGGTCCCTTCCCTTTTGTGAGCTTCAGTTTTCTCATCTGTAAAAGAAGAGGCTAAAGCAGATAGATGAGCTTTAAGATCCAGGCCCTAAAATTCTGTGGGGCTCTCTGCAGTTTTCCTGAACCCCAAAACCCCTCAGTTCTCCTTGAATACAGCACACCAGTTTCTTAACCTGGTTTGGAGACAGAGTTAATGGCCTTTCAGTGACAAACTGGATTTTATGAATGGAGTAGAAAGGAGCATTAGGAACCAGAAAATATATGTGTGTTGTTTTTTTTAAGATCCTTCTCTTCCTTATTTCCTTCTGAAAGTCATGAGTGTCTATAGAGTGGCTAAGTTGTTAAGACCTCTACCTCCAAGCCAGGAGGCCAAAAGCCACCACCACCATTAATAACCTTTGTGAGTAGCCATAGGCCAGGGACCTGACCTTTGGCATCTCTTCCCAGGGACCCTGGCTGGCTGGGATCTCCCTCGTTGAAGACTGAAGGAGGGGACAGTTAGGAAAAATCCGTTCCTACAGAGAGGTTCCTTTTTATATATAAAAACAAAATGAGCTTCTCTGACAATAATTTCCCTCAACTATGGCAGGCCCAGCCAGTGCTCAGAAAAACCTTAGCTAATTGGCACTTGGGTAGAGCTGAGTAAGCCATGCCAGTGACCTCCCTGACTTACTCTGTGAGTGCCCAGCCAGGGTGGGGAAGCAGCCCCCCTTCTTCACATCAGTGTTTTCTGGCTCCCAGCTGTTGGTGCAGCACTGGCAAGAATCAGCTCTCTGGAGTTAATGGACAGTCACTAACCCTCATAACAAAGTGACGGCAGCAGCAGCAGCCACAGCGAACACAGAGAGGGGCTTTATTTTCTGCAGGACTGGTCTGTGAGAGAGCTGTCCTGATAAGGGTCTGAGCACAATATGCTACCCCTCCATCTGCAGCTGGCTGGTGTCCACCCTACCCCCACAGCGGTCAGGGTTTAGACCATCTCTGGTCACCCAGGCAGATAACATCAGGCTTCTCTTCCAAGCAGGGAGAACTACCCATTGCCTATTGCCTGTATCTCCCCCCTGCCCTCTCCTTGCTAAGGCTCTCAGTCTGGCCCTTCTGCAAGGCCTCAAAGGAAAGAAAGGAGTCAACCATAGCATATTTTTAAGCGATCTTGGTTATTTGGGGCATGGGTTGGAAGAACTGAAGAAGAAGAAAAATAAATGCAACATGGGGATTAAGAAACAGAGAGTGCAGTTCTAGTTCTCCAGTACCACGAAAGAAAGAAAGAAAGAAAGAAAGAAAGAAAGAAAGAAAGAAAGAAAGAAAGAAAGAAAGAAAGAAAGAAAAGAGAGAGAGAGAAAGGAGGAAGGAAGGAGTGTGAATGTGGAGATGTAGCTCAGTAATGGAGCACTTGCCCAGCATGCATGAAGACCTCGATTCAATCCCCAGTACCAAAAAATAAAATAAAGAAATGGAGTGTGCATGTGTGTGTTCATGTACAAGTATGAGGGGTTGAAACATTGAAATACACACATACAAGTCCCTTCCCCTGCAAGACACGGGCAAAATGGCAGAAGCAGAGAATATCTGGAGATGCGCCCATTATGAATCACCTTTAGTGCAATTCATCTATGGCTCTTAGAGGAACGTTGAGCCCAAAGTATAACACCTCAGGGAGAAAGACCCAGAATGAACAGCCTTCACTTGAGGGAGAAGAAACTTCGAAGTTCTCAAAATTTTCTGCATTTTCTAATCCTCTTTCCCCTCTCAGAGGCTCAGTTGGCATCCTATCTGGGCCAAGGTCCCTCTGCTGCAAGCTGGGGGACAATGAAGACTGGTTCTCATTCCTGTTCTTTCTATCAAGTCTTCTTTTTTCCTTTTCTCCTCTTTTACTTTCTCTTCTCCCTCTTCCCTGCAGCTGCCACTCCTACTCCCTGCCGCCCCCAAAGCAAACGAAGCAGGAAAGAGGGCCTGATGCTCTACCTCTCCATTAGGTGTGTTATCTTCCATCATTAAATGTGCTGTTTGCTTCTAAGTGGTTCAGAATGAGCTGCTTCGGTGGAGAGACAGGTTGTTTCAGCAAGAATAAAGATTTGATTTCCACCTGAAAATTGGGCTAATTTGAGTAGTAAAGCCACCATTCCAATCCTCCCAGCGATTTTCACCCTCATCAGCCAAAACCCATCCCCCAGGCTGGTGAAGATGCTTTGAGGGAGAAGCCAGTGTGGCCCATGGGAGCCCAGGGTGGCCGGGTGGGGCAGGGGCAATAGAAAAGAGGACAGATTGATTCTCCCCAGAAGATAGCAACTAAGACACCTCCCGTGGAAACAGAAAGATTCCAGTTGTTTTATCCATTTTTCTTGGATTCCTCCCGAGCCCTCTCCTTTCTGGTCTCCTTCTCGGCTCTGCTGTTCTTTCCTCTCACCAAAGGTCCTTCAATGATTCTCAAAACTCTCTCCAGTCCTGATCATTACCCAGGGCTTTAATTCCATTTCTACCAGAATATCCTAAAGGCACTTGCAAAGCAAACTCATTCACTTCTCCCCACCCTGTTTCTTAATGTGTGTGCTCATTTCTCCAGCTTGGTATTTGGCAGGTCTTCTCAGTCTAAATCTAAATATTCTTTTTTTTCCCTTAAGCCCAAGAAATTCTTTGGGCTTCTTTAATTATTTTTAAATTTAATTTTAAATGGACAAATAATGATTGTGTATATTTATGGTGTGCAATGTGATACTTCTTAAATTATTATTTTTCTTCTCTATTCTTTTTCGGAAGTTGTGGGGACTGAACCCAGGGCATCATACACTAGGCAAGCACTCCACCCATAGAGCCGCATCCTCAGCACCCTCTTCCCCTCTCTCTGTTGTGAATTTCTAAAAGTCCTCAGATATATGTTAGATCTCCTGGGAGTCTCTTCCATGTCTCTTAACTTTCTTTTTTTTTTAAATTTATTCTTAAGTTTTAGGTGGACACAATATCTTTATTTTACATTTATGTGGTGCTGAGGCTTGAACCCAGTGCCTGGTGCATGCTAGGCGAGCACTCTACCACTGCGCCACAACCCCAGTCCGTCTCTTAACTTTCTATCATATGTTTTATATGTTCTGTTTTACTAATATGTTTACTTTATATGTTCCATTTATTAAAAATTTTACAAGTTCTTCTCTTACACTAAAAGATTACTGTTGAACTGCATCCATTCTATTGTCCAATCTCTTCAGTGAGTTTTTGAAAAATTAGACAATTATTTCCAATTTTGAAAACTTTCCTGTTTGTGGATTGCCCCTTTTTCATAGGACCCTGTTCATATTTTATAGGTAAAATGTTCTCATGTCTCTCTGAGGATATGAATTCAAAAAAGTTTTTCCAAAATTCCTTCCTTTTTAAATACTTCCTATCACTTGAAGAATCTGGGAATTTTATTGAATTGCTTGTTCTATTTTTTTTTTAATGAAATGCTTCTCTTTTATTTTCATATATTTTTTTAAATTTTTTTTAGTTATACATTGACATGACACAATATCTTTATTTTGTTTATTTATTTTTATGTGGTGCTGAGGATCGAACCCAGGGTCTCTCACATGTGAGGCGAGCACTCTACCACTGAGCCACAACCCCAGCCCCCATGTATTTGTTTTTCATGATTCTTTTCTGCCTATTTATACTTATGAATGGGGGAAGATGTTGACTAGAATAGGCAGCTGGTATGGATTTCCTTTGAGGTTAGGTAAGTTTATTTCCTCAATAGGTCAATTCCTTGAATGGGAATTGTCCTGTAGTGTTTGGGGACTGTAGATTTAGCCACACTCACTTCTTCATCAAGGATTCTTATTTGTGCTTCTTCTTTTCTTTCTTTCTTTTTTCTTTTAAGTATTGGAAATTGAACCCAGGGGTACTACTGAGCGACATCATCCCTTCTTATTTTAAGACAGGGTCTTACTAAGTTGCCCAGGCTGGCCTCAGATTTCTGATCCTCCTGTCTGAGGCTCCTGAGTTGCTGGGATTACTGGCGTGTGCCACCACACTCTGTTCTCATGTGCTCTTCATCTCTTAGGAACCTCTCAGTATTTCTGGCCCAATGATATCATTCTTTTTTCCAGTTTTGTTCTGATTTCATTCTTTTAAAAATACGCATCCCATCATTTTAATGAAAATTAAGAAAGAAAATAGGTGGTCTTTGTGCTCAGGCTGCCCTCTTGAACCAGCAGCCTCCCCCTAGTTCTTTCTGTCCTAGTTGGTCACATCACCTTCTATTTGATTGACAAAACCAGGAACCTGGGGATCTTTCTTTCTTTCTTTCTTTCTTTTTTTTTTTTTTTTGAGAGAGAGAGAGAGAGAATTTTTAATATGTATTTTTTAGTTTTTGGTGGATACAACATCTTTGTTTGTATGTGGTGCTGAGGATCGAACCTGGGCCGCACGCATGCCAGGCGAGCGCGCTGCCGCTTGAGCCACATCCCCAGCCCCTGGGTATCTTTCTTGTTAACAAAAGAAAGATCCTCTCTCTCACTCATTTCTAGTTAACAAAAAACTCCTGTCCATCTAGCCTCCTAACCACTTCTCAGATATGACTCTTCTCCATCCTTCTGCCAAAGAGCAGTTCAGTCCCCCCACTCTCTCTGTCCCCGCTTAATTGTACATATTAATGGGGTTCAGTGTGCTATTTTAACACATACATGCAGTGTGTACTGGTCAAATCAGGGTAATTAGCATTTCTCTCTGCTTATCATTTGATTTTTGGAGCATTTGAGCTCTTCTGTTCTAGACTGTCATAAAATGTATAATAGGTTATTATGAACTCTAGCCACCCTACTGAGCTGTGGAATACAAGAACATATCCTTCTTCCTGGCCATTCTGATGCCCATTGTCCAACCTCCTTTTATGCACCCTTCCCCGTAACCCTTCCTGACTCCAATAATCACTATTCTACATGCAGGTCAATTTTTTTTTTTAGCTTCCATATATAAGAAAGAATATGAGGTATTTGTCTTTCTGTGTTTGGCTTATTTCACTTAATAGACTGTCTTCCAGTCTCGTCCATTTTGCTGCAAATGACAGGATTTCATTCTTTTTTATGGCTGAAAATATTCCACTTTGTATATAGACCATATTTTCTCTATCCATTCATGCAGTGATAGGCAACTAGGTTGATTCCATATCTTAGCTATTGTGACTATTTTCAAAACCATATTAGTCTCTCTTTGGTTTTTGTTTGTTTTGTTTTGTTTGATTTTTGTTTTCTGTGGTACTGGGGATTGAACCCGGGGGCAGGGGGAGGTGCTCTACCACTGAGCCATATCCCCAGCTCCTTTTTATTTTATTTATTTGAGACAGGATCTCACTAAGTTGCCCAGGCTGGCTTCGAATTTGTGATTCTCCTGCCTCAGCCTCCCAAGTCTCTGGGATTACAGGTGTGGGTCAGCTACAGTCGTCTCCTAACAGGACCCCTAGCCTCCATTCTCACTCTCCTCTCACTCAATCCTTTCTATCCACCAGGGCCAACCAGAGTGCTCTGTCTGAAATACAGGCAGGACCAGGACTGTGTCACTTCCTGGCTATGCCCATCATTGGCTCCCCACTGACCACAGGGCACAGCTTCTCTGTGCATGGGAAGCCTTTCCACCTTGCCTGCCTCTGTCCCTCAATACACACCATCCTGGCATCCCCTCCCCGCCCACTGCCTGTGCCTTTGTTGGTGAAGTTTCCTCTGCTGGAAGAGCCCCTTTCCCATTGTCTCACTTAAATTACTGCTCTTGGACTTTCAAGACTCATTTCAGATATCTCCTGCTCTGGGAAGCTCTTCCCAGTTCCCACCATCCACTAACACCCCAGGTCAGGAGTCCCTTGTGCTCTATGTGCTGGCAGCATAACTTCTCATTCTATGGAAACTTCATGTTGCTAGTCAGTATTTCCCACCCCTGCTAACTTCTTGTCTGTCTTCCCAAGAACTGACCTGAAATAACTGCTCAAGAAATGTTTTCTGTGCAATACCAACATCCCCCTGGCAGATCAGATGTGCTCCATGCATCCCAGATCCTGGAAAGTACTTTTTTTTTTTTTTTTTTTTTTTTTTTGGTACGAGGGATTGAACCCAGAGGTGCTTAACCACTGAGCCACATTCCCCAGACCTTTTTATTTATTTTTAATTTTGAGACAGAGTCTCACTAAGTTGCTTAGGGTTTTGCTACGTTGTTGAGGCTGGCTTTGGACTCATGATCCTCGTCTCAGCCTCCTGAGCCACTGAGATTACTATACCACACCCGACTGGAAAGTACTTTCTTACCAGGGAACCCCAGTATACCTAGCTCACTCACTCACTAATCACCCCATTCATTCAGGAGATCAGCTGTTTATTGAGTGCCTACTATATACCAGACAAGGAGATTCAGGGATGAGCAAGACATACACTGTCCCCACCCCTCTGGATCTCACAATCTGGTGAGAGAGAAAGACACTAATCAACGAATCACACATATATAAATAGAGCCTGTGATAAGCACTTTTAGGAGGAAGAGCATGGAGAGCAGATATCCAGGGAATCAAAATCTAAACCGAGACTGTAGGAACAGCCTCCCTGAGAAAGTGGCCTTTGAGCTGAGAGCGAAAGCATGCTGCTGTGAGTGGAGCTTCCAAGAAACACGGCCGTGAAGTGAAGGAAAGAGGGACAGGAGCTGAAGGGGGCCAGGGCACAGGGGATGGACATTTCAGTTGTCTGCTGCTACCTCAACTACCCCAAACCTAGTGGCTTAAACATTTTATCCTACCTCGTGACTTTGATGGGTCGGAAACGCAGGGAAGGGCCAGCCGTGTGATGGCTCCCCTGCATGTGGCCTTGACAGAGCTCACCTGGTGACAGACAGGCTGGTGTGGAGAGCCTGGGATGGCTTCACTCAATGTCTGGCATCTTGGGGAGGGCGAGGAGGCTGGGCTCAGTGGGTTCCACAGAGCAGAGCCTCTTCTCACACATGGCCTCTCTGGCATGGTGGCCTCAGAGTATTCCAGCTACCTACAGGACAGCTCCAGGTTCCAAGAGTGTGCCAGAAAGCAAGGTGAAAGACACGTGACCTTTTATAACCCAGCCTCAGATGTCGCATAGCAGCACTTTTGCTGGCTCTGTGGCTGAAGGAGTCACAAGCCCTCCCAGACTAGAAAAGAGGGGCGTAGACCCTGGCCTCTCCATGGGAGGGGTGTCAGCATATTTGCAGCCAAGATTTTACAATCACCACGATTTCATTTTTTTAAGTGAGGAAGACCACAGTATGTTCAAGTGCTGTTAGGAAAGGTGAGCAGTCAGGAGCCTTTGGGGACAGAAGAGAGAAAAAGGATCATCAGTTGTGTTAGGTTTGGTGATGAGGCCAACAATGCTAAGTCCCCGGCTTCCCCTGACTCTGCCAGCCTCGCCCCCATCCCCACACCAGAGGATGCTCTCCTTGGCTGTCAGAAGCAGCAAGCTGTAGCTAGAAACTCCACCCTGGCCTGCTAGCTCTCTCACTTATAGCCAGAAATCAAATCCAGCCCTAAGTCTTCTGTAAACAGCGACCACACTCCAGCACCTCACAGTTTGCATAACAGTTTGTATATCATTGGGCTAGGAGATGGTCTAGCACCTATTCTTAAAGATTTTGCCTTTTCCTTAGGTTTTAACTATTTATATTTAATCTCCTGCCTCAGTAGGAAGTTCTAGCTTTTATTTTTCAGATTGATTGCAGTCTCTCCTGTTGCACTGAGTGACTGACAGCAGATGACAGTTCAGTATCCCCACAATGGTTCTGTATTTATTTGAATCCAAACCTTCCAGGGGTTATCTAGGCAGCCACCCCTGGGCTGCTAAATCGCCCCAAATCTCTTAATCTTTTCTTAAAGCTCCCATTTCTCATTCTCTTCACCAAGGACTCTCATTTTAACCCATTCAAAACCAACTCCTCGACATTTTCACCACGGGCCTACACCATTTATTATGAACTTCCACAGAGCTACACCTGGCAGGTTTAGTAAATGAAAGCCCAGGCTTTGGACTCCATCAAGTCTGAGTTCAGCATGGTCCCTGCTGCTTTGTAATCGTGGGCAAGCTCTTTAACCTTTTTTTTTTTTTAAGTTGTAGATGGACACAATACTTTTATTTTTATGTAGTGCTAAGGATAGAACCCAGTGCCTCACATTCTAGGCAAGCATTCTACCACTGAGCTACAACCCCAGCTCCTATTTCCTTAAGCTTTAGTTTTCTTGGGAAGTAACCAGGCACAGTGGCACACACTCATAATCCCATCGATCTAGGAGGCTGAGGCAGAAGGTTTGCCAATTCAGGGTCAGCCTTAGCAATTTAGCAAGACTCTCTCTGAGATAGATAGATAGATAGATAGATAGATAGATAGATAGATAGATAGATAGATAGATAGATAGGACTGGGGATATAGCTCAGTGGTAAAGTGCTCCTGGGTTCCATACCTAGTACCTCACACACACACACACATACACACACACACACACACACAAAAGCAAGTAATGATAATTAGCTTCATTAGTTGTCAAGTTTTGAGATATTTGGAACACCTTGCTCAGGTAAGGAGGATGCAGTCAATTGTAGCTGTCATCAGGTCTTAGGGTTCTGGTAAATGTTG